CTCTCCGCTGCCACTCTGTCTCCCCCCCCCCGCCCCCGTGCCTCTGCCTCCCATTCCTTGAGGCTTCGCTCGGTATTTAGAGGTGGACGGGTGCCCAGGTATGTGCCCTCCTTCCGCCCCGCCCTCGCCATTGCCCCACTGCCAGACCTGGGCCAGTGGCTCTGCAAGATCCTGACCCACACCTGCCCTGAGCCAGAGGACTGACAGGAGCCTCAAAGCCCTGCGTTGAGGCTGGAGGCAGGGTGGCCTTGGCATGGATGCCTGGTGAGGCTGTCATAGCCTCAGCTATGCCTTGCATGCCTGGCTGTCCTGGCCCAGGCTTCTGCACTCTAACGGTGTCTTGGAGGAGACTTGGGGTTTTGCTGTAACTCATCCGCCTTCTGTGAACACAAGCATTCTTGGCCAGCAGTTTCTTGTGAGCTTTTCCAAGGCAGCCTCTTGTTTCCCATTCAAAAACACAGCTACCTTGCCCGGCCATGGCTCACCACGTTCTTCATCTATTCTGTCTCTGGATGGTGAAGGAGATGGTGTGGGGACATGGCAGCTGGTGGTGCCACACAGCTCCATGAGGGAGTGGCTGGTACAGCCATGGAAAGGACCCAAGGTAAGCTGACCACGTGAGAACAGGGAGAACTCACGCTAGTCATATGCAGAAAGCCCCCAAACCATGCCAGACACAGATGGTAGTGTGGGCCCGGGCCCAGCCCTCCTGATCTGCCAGACACAGCAAAGATTGAGCCTGAGTCCTTCATAAGTACCAGCAGAATTCCCCCGCTGCAAAGCTCCATTGACTGGGTCCTGGTGAGCCTGTCCCCATGTACCTTGTCACGTCGGGCTCCTCCCACCAGCAGCCTGAGACCTACTCTGGTCCTCTAGTCTGCTCAAGTCGGCGTCTCTGGAGAAGCCTGAGCCTTGGGCATTGCTCTCCACCCCCAACTCCCTATAGCCCTGTCTAAGCTGGGTCCCTGAGGGGAGGCTGTGTCCCAGGTTGTGCCACTCCAGAGCTGCCTGATGATCTGTCTAAGAGAGCCTCCGAAGGCAGCATACAGGGGCCCCAAAGCGTGATACACACTAGGGATCAGCAGTGAAGACTGACTGCACCTGAGTGTGTACACCAGGGCTTTCCTTTCAAACATTCAGGGCTGGACAGCCCTGTGCCAGGGGATGTGGACTGAACTCTCTTGGGTTGGGTGCATGGAGCGGTGGGGTCCATGGAGCTGGAGCCCAGTGCTGAGCCAGCATTTGAGGGAAGCTCTGAAGAGAGGAGACCTCTCTTCCCACAGAGAGCATGGCAGGAGTCACCACCACCACCCAGGATTTGATCACCTCACTGGGTTGCTCAGGTGCATGGACTGAGAGCCAGAGAAGCCACACCAGCTGTGAGCCAGGGTGATGTCTGCTACCTGAAATGGGTACAGAACTCCACAAGCCAGGTATCAGAGGCTTCTATGACCTGTGGTGGGTGGGTCCCAGTGAGACCAGAGGGAAGGGACAGATGCCTGGGGACAGGCAGCTCCTGGAGTCAAACACACACCAAGGAAGTGCTACATACTGCAAACCCAGGTCTGCAGAACCAGGAGGGAATGCCTGCAGAAAGGGCCTGGTTTCTGGACACAGGGTCAGGGACAAGAGGTAATTCCTGGCAGTAAAATCATGGGAGTCAAAGAATTATTGTTATGGTTTGTGCCTGGAGGTCCCCCTGAGCCTCATGCTGTCATGGGGCAGGCTTCTAGAATCTATGGTTGATCCATGGTCCAGTGCTGGGATTATGGGTATGAGTGCTGCACCCATCCTGGGGCAGGTAGCCTGAATACGATGTAAGGGAGGGAAAGAGGCTGCTTGCTGCCACTCTTCCCCTTTTCACTCTTGCTGCCTTTGCTGTCTTTTGCCACCATGAACTGTTCCCCTCTGCCATGTGCCACCCTGCCTTGGAGCCAGCTGAATATGGACTGAAACCTCCACAAACTGTGAGCTAAAAATAAACCTGCCCTTCCTTAATTTTGGGCATTGGGTATTTTGTGCCAGCAATGAGAGAAAAGTGACCAAGACAGCTATCAAGTGGGCTCTCTTGGAGAGGGAGGGGAACAAACACGAACGCCTGTTTCCAAAAGATGACTTGCATTTTCCTTGTAGAGAAATGCCAAAATCAGTTAGAAATTTGCTGTTTAAGAATAATCCCCAAAGAAACAAGAGGAAGAAAGGAATTCTCCTGTTCTGGCCTCTGTGACCTAACAATATAGTCCACAGGACCAAAGTCACCACTGGCCACGCCTGTGTGCACCGCGCCTGCTCTTGGACAGATTGAGTCTCCTGTGCAGACCTTCTTGTCTTAACATCCACTCATTCCCACATCCACACCCAAGTTCAGAGATCAGGCAAAATTCCCGGGAAAGGGTCACCTGGGGTGAGGAACTTGCAACACAGCGAAAGCCAGCTGCCCTTGCCATTCAGCGTGGACCCCACGTGGTGCGTGGTGGGGCCTGACGTGGCATCAGCTATGAGCCTGTCACTAAGTTTCCTATCATTTTGTGTAAATTTGCAAAATAATTGCCCTTTAAACTCTGTGGCCAGGGTTAGCTCTCCCTTCATTAATAACAAAAGATGTCCTGGGTGTTGTGTCGTCCAGCACCAAATACCACAGCTTCTCAAGCAGCCCGTGACCTCTCAGTCACGCCAGCAGAAGTCACGCCAGGTTCTGCATGCTGATGACACAGACAGTCTTTTCAAAGTGTGCAGCTTGCATTGCTGCTAGCAAGAGTGGTGCTATCTTTTAAACCTGGACTGCACGAGAAGTTCTTTTGGGTCCGAACTCCTTTCTTGTCTCTGCACGTGGGGCTGCCGCTTGGAGAGGTGTCGCCATGCTCCCTGGCATCGATGTTCCCTGGCAGACAGGGGCCAGGTACCTGCTCTCTTGACGTTTCTGCCGCCAGACTCCAAGATTCTTACGGTTTCACACTTGTGTTTTATAATCTTTTCCCTGTACAGCATCCACTACACTCATGATAGTGTAATATTACTTGAAATATGAAAGGAGTGAGAGTTTTTATAAATTATAAATGGGTGTTAACAACTTTGCGCATGTACAACAAGCGGGAAACATTGCCTGCACAGCTACGGCAGTTAATATAAATACACTGGAGTAAGTTGAGAGATCGAGCATTCGGAGAGCTGTTGATACGAGACTCAAACATCCATTTGATACGTAATCTCCCCCTTGGTACAACACATTAGTGCATGACATGAACACATTTGAAACGACCCAGACTCTAGATTTCAAATAATCAAACTCATTTTCCCTTGAAAGCAATAAAATAAATGAAAGGACATTGTCTGTGAGTATATTGTCATGATTAAAAAAAAAGATAAAAAGACTGCATTGCGTTCCATTTTATTCCCCTCACAGCCTCCTTAAGTTCCAGCAAATCCAATTTCAGATGAATTACTTCCCAGTCCTGGGTGAACTGTCAAGCACGGGACAGCCAAGGGTGCGTTCCTGCATATGAACCTGACAATTGACTGGTCTTCTGCGGGTCAGTCACCACATCCGATGAGGACCGTGCACCCCATGGCTGCTGAGGACGGGGGGCTGCAGCTGTCACAGCTCAGTCCCTGCCTTCAGGTTCAGAACAACGTCTCTGGGCTCCCCCTTTCCAGGCCCCAGGAGGCCGCTCTGCTGTGTGAGGACACTTTAACCTGCGCATAACACCCTAGTTCCAAACGCCTCCCGACAAAGCAGGACAGAGTGAGGCCAGAGACCCAGGTCTCCACAAAGCCCACACCCCTCAGACCTCTGGGTTTAGCACAACTTTGCAAAGGATCTTTTTCTTTTTTTTGGTTTTTTTGTTGGTTTCATTTGTTTTGTGAGACAGGTCTCACTATGTAGCCCAGGCTGGTGTCAAACTCATGGTGATCCTCCTGCTTCAACCTCCCAAGTGCTAGAATTACAGGCACGGGCCACCACACCTGGCAGGATCCTTTTCTAATCAAAATCTTTCAATGCCCCAATACTATCTTGAGCAAATGAGTGTTGCTAAAGGCATAAAGACACCCTATGAGCAAACCCAACAGCAGCCAAGGCAGAGGAACTGATGGATTTCTGCACCGTGGGACGGCAGCTCCTGCATGCTGTGTAGTCCACCATTGATGACGAAACTGGGTCAACAGGATGACCCTGAAGTGAGGCCTCGGATATGCGCAGGGAACTGAAAACCCAACTCTAAGTCGGCTGGGACATTGTGCTGCATTCACCATTGAAAAAACAAAAGACTTAAATTTCAGTAACTTTCAGAAAACAATAATTCCCATATTTAAGGCTGACTGAAACAGAATTACGTTCTACCCTACCTGGACAGCACCCTCAGCCTGGCCTCTCGTAAATGACCACAAAGTATGAAGTGTCCCTCCTGCCCAGTCACCCCAGAGCACCAGAGCTAAGGCTCTCCCAACTGCTCTTCTTAGAAAGACTGTACAACACGCTCCACAAGATTGCTCCATCCCACTGCAAAATGTATTTGGGAAGTGCAGAAAACATGTCCTCTACCCCTTCTTGCTCTTCAAGGTGCTAGAGAGTGCTGATTTGTGATTTTCTCCTCTGTGACAACACTGATCACAGGACCAAGGCCACTCCCGCTCCATCAGGTCCCAGGTCTCAGAAACGCCGGGAACTTGAGATCTGTCAGGAAACCACCGCAGTCACTCAGCCCACCCGGCCGCACTCTGCCCCTGCCTGCAGGGACAGAAGATGTGGAGGACCTCTGCACGGCGCAGCCCTAACGCCTCAACCAGGTCACACAGCTCTGTTCACACCGGGTGCTGGGCATGCACCCCTTTGTCTCCAAACCTCTCAAGTACAATGCTGGGGTTTTGTCTCCTGTCAGAAGGGTGGCGAGTTGCACATGGCAGAAACCCAAATAACGTGGCCCAGGTGGCACTGGCTCTGATGGCCACGTCTCTGCCTTGACTGTGTGAGTGTGCACACACGCATGTGGTGACGGCCTTACCTGTGGCCTTTGCGACGTCTGCAGTTGTCACATTTCGGACATTGGCACTCACTTTGTAGGTCACTGCCGGCCCCAGGACACTGGAAGAGACCATTCAGGAACAGGTCATTACCAGGTCACCACAGGGGCCTGTCCGAAAGCTCCCCAGAAACCCCAACAAGTGAAGGCACCGTGCCAGGTGCTGTGTGCCGCCAGTGTGACCTCCACCCCAAACCAAGGCTGTTTAGCTCTGAACTGTGACTCTGCTCCCACCTCCAGCAATTCTGTCAGCAACTCCATCAGTGGGTTTGCTGTTCTGAAACACACCCTGCAGCAGGATATGTGCTTATAAAAATGTTCAGATCTGCCCTAGGACCCAACACTCCCCAAGGAAACAGGCAGGCAGGCAGACAACCCCCCTAGGGAGCAGAAAGCACTATATCTACCCAGGCCTTGTCCTGGGCTCCCAAGGGGGCAATAAGAGTTTGAGCAGAAAAGAGAAAGACAAGGTTTTCAAGCTCCTCATGACAGGAGATGTTTAAAAAACCACCACTGCTCCATGCAAAAATACCTGGCAGGGAATAGCTTGACAAGAATTACTAAAATTATCCGAGGCTTTGTAAACACCACGTTCAACATGATTTTGAGACACAGCTCATCTGAAGACCCCTGTGCCTGAAGGACTGAATGCAGGGTGCTCACCAGTTCTGGCCAGGTGGGGAGTCCAGTTTGACTTTGAAAGTTGGTGCCATCTCCACAGTGGCCACCCTCACAATGACCCTCGGACACCTGCCAATCTACCTGAGGACAAGGGGTGGGGAAGAAGCCACCTGGGGGGCAGGAGAGAAAACCCGGACTTCCCAGAGCTCCCACACTGCCCAGAGCTCTATGGAGCCCCGGCTCCTCCGCACCCCACCCCCGTTCCCACTGAAGTGCAGGAACCCAGCTAGAATCCTTCCTGCCTTGATGCTGGGGCGCCCCGGCTGCCAGGCTGCACCTCTTTTAGGCCCTGCAGAGTTTGTGGGAGACCTTGGTGTCCTCCGGGGCTCAGACTCACTTTTGTGGCAGCCCGCTCAGGCACAAGCTGCTGCCCAAGGGGCCCTCATCATCGCCAGGCAATGCCATAGCTGATCTGCATCACTGTAGGAGTCCACATGGGAGCCCAGCATCACCTGTGCTCGGGATCCACCCTGGAACCCTGCTCTGAGAAGCAGAAGGTGCCGCCCACCGGGCACTTAGACCAGCTGCATCCATAGGGCTGCCGTCACGCCTGGAATGCTGTCACACTGTCCTTCTTGGTTGCAAGCCACGCTCCAGCCAATCTGTGCTACCCACAGCAGAGCTGAGTTTCTTCCATGCCCAGCTCTCCTGCCTGCAGGACCAGGCATCCCCTCCACTGCACAGGGCCGCAGCAACTTGCCTGGGGATCTCCCCCAGCCCTCACCATGGGGCAGGAGGCCAGTAGGTCCACATCCTCCCAGAGGCAGGCACTGGTCCAGGAAGGAGGTCATCCGTCCCAGTATAGTCATGTCCCTCACAGCCCCCACTACCTGATTGGTTTTGTTTCCTTCCCCTGCTTTGCACATCTGGACCCACAGCTGGTTCTGAACGTGAGGTGGCTCTGGTACAAGCTCAATCTGGTACAGCTGCCACAGCCCAGAGCTCTGGAGATTCACCACCATGTCACAGGGCCGGTGGGCCTGCAGCTTGGAGCCTGGTGGGTTTCTATACCCTGGCCATCCCGAGGACTAGGTGCTGGAGTCTTCTCATCTCCCCAGGCCTCTACAGGAGGCGGTGGACAGGGAGTACTGGCTCACTTCCCAGGGAGCCTCTGAGCACCCTGTGGGGCCGAGGAGAGGAGCTGGAGCAGACTGTGTCTCCTGCAGCCAGAGGAGCTCTGGAAAGGTGAGGTGAGCAGCAGGTGCTGTGCCTCTTGCCCGGCCAGCACCCAGATGCCTTCCTGCAGTACCAGGCTTTTGTCACTTTTGTAGGTGGACATTCAAAAAGGATCCACTTGTTACCCAGGACTGGGGAAAATAAGTCCTTCTAAGAGACACCATTAGCCACCATGTCTCAGTCAGCAGCCACTGGTCTGGATGGGACCTGGGAGCCTTCTAGGTCCTCTACAGTATCATGGGATGCAGAGACCTCTGCACTGTCGGCCCCAGAATCCCCGCTGCTCAGAAACACTGCTTGAGGGCCTCACTGGCGCGTGCATGGGCTCTGGTCTCATAGGAATCTTGGCATCTTCCTGACAACTTGCTGAGGGAGGAGAGGCGCCATGCTGGTTGCCACCATCACCCTGGGGCTGGGACAGACGTGCCTCTCCCAGTCTGCAGGGTTCCAGGTGTCAGGTGAGGGTGACCACCATCAGGGTAGGAAGGACCAGCAGAGCAGAAAGGCTTGATGACTAAGGGACAGCTCTGCAGGGCCCAGGAAGGTGAGGTCCACCCAGGGACATTGCCAGCCCTGCATGAGCTGCTGCTGTGTGCACCGGAGCTGTGACGGCCCCAGGGCACCGGCCTCCCAGGCCCCTTCCTGTGCAGTCCCCACCCAGGCTCACTGTCTAGGCTGTGATCCAACACAGACCACTGGTCTCAACCTTCTCAAGGGAGCAACTCATTCTACCTGACTGCAAACTTCCACGTCCACAGCATGGGCTCCTGTGCCCCCATGGGCACTTCTGTGGACACAGCATGGACTCCTGTACCCTGGGAGAGGTGACAGAGAGCTTCACCCTTAACACCACCAAGACTGCTAGTGCTCAGCACTCAGCCTCAGCACATTCTCATCAACCAGCCAGTACCTAACCTTGTCCGCTGTGGGTCTCCACTTGAGCTCTAATTGAATGCACTCTGTGGAGCGGTTGATGCTGAACTCATGGGCTGAAACCAGCAGCCCTACCTGCAGGATGCTCCTGTGACATCTGAGTCCTCTCTGCAGCAGCCTGAGCTCCAGCATGCACATGTGCCAGGCAGCCTTGCGGCATGCGCTGGGGCCAGGTGACCGGTGAATTGACAGCAAAAGGCACAGAAAACATGAACAATGTGGCACCAGACCCCCATGGAAGCCACCCTTGCCCATGTGAGCCAGAATGGGGAGGCTGTACCCTCGGCCAGCTGCAGCTGGGAGTGAGCACGTCGGCCGCCTGCAGCTGCCAGTGCTCTACTCATGTCCAGGAACAGCCGTGAAAGCATGGCAAGGATTGCAATGAATTTCCAGATAAATGCCTCACATGATGAGCATTTCCTGCCCTCTGTGCTGTGGCATTTCCCTGTACGTCGCTGATTTTGCTATTTTCTTCATGTTACAAGTTAATATTGTAGGAAACAAGGGTGCTCATGTCTAAGAGCCTTGTGTAACTGCTTCTTCCTGGTGATTTTGGCCGGCCGTAGTCTTTAACTGTGCAAACAGGGCTAAGAAGACCCATCTTAGAGGGAATCTGGGCCACTGATTGGCAATGGGACATTCTAAGGCAGCGATGCTAACCCTTTTAGAGCTTTCAGCCATGCAAACAGACTGCCGCAGCATCCTTGCCACAGGTTTGCCACCAGTCTAGGGTTTCCCTCTAGCCAGAAGCACTCGCTGTGCCCCAACAGTCCAGGTGACTGCTGGTCTGGGACTCTTGACATCTGCTCTCTGGATGAAGGATGCTGCATAGTGCACCCAGCTCCGCACACTGCAATCCTCTTAATGGTCTGGTTGATATGGGCAAGGTCATCCTGCTCTTTCTCGGCTCGATGTCTATGGGATGCAGGTGCCTGGGGAGGTCGAGTGACACCTGGCGTACCCCTCAGGAGAGTGTTCTTGGTGGGGAGCACAGAGGCACTTCTGAGTCGCGGTCCCTGGAGAGCCATTGAGTTATCGAAGGTCACATCCACTATGAGAAGTGACTGCTGCTGATACGGAAGAAGCGAAGGAGCTCACAAACCCAGACTCACATCCCCCACCCTGGGAAAGAAAGGGTCCTCATGTAGCCCAGGGGTGTGTGACACTCACAGCACACTTTTACACGGCTCCTATGTGGAACAAACACATCAGGGTAAACAAAGCTCACCATTACCACAAAGGCTCAATTCCTAGTCAGGCTGGACACAACAGGAAAAGCTATGTCCTCGAGAGTTTGCAGAATTCCTCATTTAAAGCTACCTTTAGCCACTTTAAGCAAACCATACATGTCCACCTCAATAAGAAATTGCTCCATCGCTGCAACCCCAGCTGTAGTTCCTTCCATGTTAAATGCAAGTCCAGCTGTTCTGAGCCCTTCACCATTCAGTGGTTCTACTTGATACCATGTCGACAATCATTCCTTTTTTATGGCCATGGGCCATGTTAACAAGGAACAGAAATAATTTCTAGGATTTTAACACTAATATATGACACATTTTCCAGAAACTTCCCCTGCTATCAGTTAAGGTAATGTAACATAAATAAGCCAGCCCAGCATTAACCGGAGTATCTGAGTATCGGCATACAAACTCTGTTTACCTGAGGGTTGCTTAGAAACCAACCTCACCTACATTATCATTAAAATAATTTAAAATACATACAATGTGCTGCCAGCATAACAACAACACATGATCTATGAGCCTTCTCAAAGGTCATGTGTCTCGGGTCGTCTTCTGACCACAACACGCACAGCCTGACATGCTGGCCACAGGAGCCAGAGGACACTGAACTCGGTCTACACTCAACTGCAGGCCCACGGGGTTTGGGGCAGGCTAGCACACCTGGGTGGCAACTTCTTATTTAAAACTATTTATGAAACACAGGACCCTGCAGAGCCCGGTCCAGTGAAGCTCCCACTTAGCATGGTTAGTCCAGGAGTCATTATGTCCTTGTAATAAGGGGTGATCTACACACAGATCAAGTCTACCTTTTTTTGTCAGACTGAGGATTGAACGTAGAGTCTTCACACTGAAATACACCCCCCAGCTCTTTATGTAATCTTGAGATGGGGTCTCACTATGCTGCTAACTTGGCCAGGCTGGGCTCAAACACACTGCGACCCTCCTGGGTCAGCCTCCTAGAGTTCTAGGATTACAGGCCTGCACCACCACACTGGACTCATTCATGTCTGCCTTTAAGGCCTACAGTGAAGATAACACAAATGATGATAAACACTACTTTGTAGTCAGTTTAAAGAGTCTGGTACTAATTCTCTTGAATTTTGTGGATTAAAAAAAGGTAGCAAAGATATATTTGGCAACAATGGTTAAACGATTAAGGTTAATCACTTAATGTTGATACCTTACAACTAACATATATGTAAATGTTGCTCTTTTCAATGAATAAACTTTCTTGAATGTTGTTTAGAAATAAGATCAACGTTTGATAGGCTATTTTCCTTAAAACTTGTTTGCTAGCTTATGCCCTTTTGGCCTGGTAGACAGACCTGTGCTTTGTCTGTTTGATACCTGAATTTTGGGTGAAGTTCATAGCGTATGGGGATGGGAGGATGGATGTGTGATGAATGAAGATAAACAGACACACAGACATATGGCTGCATGGATGACAGAAGGCTGTATGAGTAGGTGGATGGATGGATGATGCTGGGTAGACAACCAAGAAGAACTTTGTGGGTGGGCTCTGCCCTGAACCTATGTAGTGTGGGCTCTGGCTTGTTCCCGTGGACCCCAGCTTCCTTGCATTCTTGTCCATTTACTCCCCTGCTCTGTAGGGGTGACTCTTTTTCGGTAGTGGGTGAGGCTAAGGTGCTCACAGAAAGCCAGTGGGAAGTGGGGCTGTCACAGGTGACCTCTGTGTTCCTCATTCCCTCCAGGTCACAGACCAGAGGACAGGCCCTGGCCATGAAATCTGAAATGTCTGTAGATGGCAAAATAATGCAGATACACACTCCTACAGCAAACTTTCTGTGGTCGTGACTTCCGCGCTTCCTGCCACTCAACATTAGGCAATAACTTCAAAATATCAGGATGAGAGCTAGTAAGGGAGGAGGGACTGAGAGAATCGATTCCTATTTGAACATGTGAGGAAACAAAGACTCACCAGGTTATTTATTTCGAGGTACTTTAACCTAGCCCAAGCCTTAACCAGAGGCACAGCGACTGATGCTGCTGCCCTGAGCAGCTGCGTCACAGGCAGACCGCATCTCCTCAAGTCCTGCGCGATCTGTGTGATGTGAGCCTCCCTCCTCATTATGGGATGCCCCGCCTTGCCCTCGAGGCTCTGCTCTGAGTCCAGGTTACTGTGTGACCCAGTCCCTGGCTGAAGCAGCTTATGCTTTGTTCTCATGGGTCAAACATCATCACCCGAAACCACAGTCTCCCAAGGAACACCTAATTCCTGGACCAGTTCTACTGGGCCTGGGAAACGACCAAAGTCTTAGAAAAAAGAGCTGACTAGGATGATTTAGTCCAGGCCCACTTATGGCGGAGCTATCTCTGTTATCTGTCCTAACAGCGATAAGAATGAAGCATCAGTGCACAAGCCGCCATGTGCTGTGAGCCTCCACACCAGGTGCAGCCAGAAGCTCTGAGCATGGGACCCTGCGTGGGGACCCGCCAAGTGCACCAGCCATCTGTGGGGCCCTTAGAAGGCTGATCAGGGTTTAGAGAGGGTGACAGTGACATGTGCTCCCGTGAGGGGCTCCTGAGAGGGCACCCAGACCACAGGAGGCCACACGCATGCTCCCTACTATGCAGGCGGGAAACTGAGGCTTTGGAGGGTACATGACTGAACTGTTTGCAAACATACAGTGGCTTTTCCCTGCTGCTCATCTCTGGGCTAAAGACAGCAGTCTGATGTCTTTATTGCCACTGTCCTTATTCCAAGGATCTTGTGCACCTGTCTCTGGCACCAGATCACCCCCTTGCAGCATCTGTGGTGCCAGGTGGGGTGCTGAGGATGGCGCCTGCACTCTGCTCCACGAAGAAGGGCTCAGGAACACCAGGCCCATCCTACGCCCAGCTCCGTGCCCTCACGGAGCAGACCTGAAACACAGGTGCATGGGTGCAGCAGGTTCCAAATCACGGGTGCAGGGAGGCTTACCAGGACCCCTCCAGGCACCAGGCTGTTAGGGGCCATTCGCACCCTCTACAATCCTGCACCCATCAGTGCACTGCTCCAGTGCACAGAACAAATTAGCCAGGGTCTCATCATCGGGGGTGATCACACAGACAACCAGCAGCACAGCCCCCACCGCTTCCTGTGTAATGTCCACCCAGGTCCGTGGGTGTGAGACAGGCGTAGTATCACAACCTGCCCAGGAGAAGGAAGTATAATTTCCAGATGCTTCCAACACCCTCAGCCACCTCCCTCTTGGAGGGCGGCATGAGGGTTGGGGCAGGGAAAAGGGTTCAGGGGCTGGCGGGGTGCAGGCGTCTCCCCAGCCCTGTGCATGCAGGAGCCCCGGGGGTAAGTGCCAGGACAGAGGACTCCCAGCACTGCATCCTTGAAGCTGTCTTGAAGAGTAAGAGCACTGTCACTGTCAGCCCAGTAAATCACACGGAGAAGAAACTCAACTGCTTCTGGCAAACAAGAGCCGTGAAGATTGATCACGGAATTAAGCTGTCCTCCCACGACAAGCTGGGCTGACCCAGGAGTTCGCTCCTCTGAGGACAGTCAACGCCTGGCATCTCCCTGTGCTCTGGGCCCTGGGCGACATCTTTCCTGGGCACTGCTCACCCCAGTGCTGCCCACCTGACCGAATACCTCGGGAGGCCTCCCGGCATCCATCAGCCCACCCGGGACAGCACGATTAGATTGTAAAATCATAACTGCGGTCGTTGTACGTCTGCTGGCATAATTACATCAGCATGCTAATGCCATTTTAATGGTCTCTAATGATGTAATAAGAAATAATGGAATTTATTTGACAGCTACATAACCATTAACAAAACATATTAAGCATAACTAGTACTTCCATAAAAATGCAGACAATGTCTGCCAGTGCCAGCGCCAGTGCACGTGTCTCCTCTCCCCGCTCCTAGAACAGTGAGGACCTGGCCCTCCCTCCCAGGCCCTGGGGTGCAGGGCGCCTGAGCAGGACCGAGGAGTACATGTCCATCACCACAGGGTGGTGTTCGGGATTGTCAAGACATGCAGGTACAGCTAGCGTGTTCAGAGGGCATACCTGCACACACATGCACATGCACACCAGGCCCCGGGTGGCACAGACTCCACAAGGCCAGGCCTGGGGACTTTGAGGAGGCTCTCTGGAAGCAGTGAGGGCCGGACCTCAGCGGGGAGCAAGGCTTGGGAACAGGACAGAGCTGAGCGGGAGAACGGCACAGGCTATGGGGAGGACACGGCAGGAGCTGCAGTGGGTCAGACACTCTAAGGTGGGTGGCGCTCACTCCCTTGGGGAACAGGCATGTTCCAGCAGGGAGCACACTGGGCCGTGACACTCAGGAAGTGCTTGGCCGGCTCAGCCCAGGCCTGCTCCTCAGAGAGGCCGGGACGCCTGTGCTGGAAGTTGGGGCTCGCCCAAAGGAACAAAGCGTCAGCGCTGCACAGCCACAGTAGAGGGCCCCGCCTGAAGGACAGAGGACGGCGCCTCGCCCATGCTCCTCTCCAGTCCGGGCCTCTCCTGCTCTCCCACTGTCTGTGTGCGGGGCACTTTCCTGCCTGCTGGCCTGTGCTAGTCACATGCGCACACGGTTGCTTGAGTGCTGCTCGCTCCAGGATGGAGAGGGACTGGCCCTGACACGCCTCTGAGGGCAGGGACACTGGCGCACTTCGGTCACTGCAGGGATGCAGGGCCACGCCCACTCTCCCCATGGAAGCGTGCTATCGAGGTAATGACGGGACGCAGTGTGCGGCAGACGCTGGGAATCCTGTCCCAGCGTCACTGGAAGAGGCACCCGGCTTCCCCCTGCCCTGCAGTGGAGTGGCTGCTGGCTGCCAGGGCAGCAGGGTGAGGTCAGTGCCCCGCATCCAGGAGGCTGGGATTCTCATCGCCAAGCACAGCATCCACTGTAGCTGCACACAGTCCCAGAGCCACTGCCAGGGCTCCTCCCTCCTTCCCTGCACGGCTCCTCTTGGCATGGCTAACACGGCTCCGCGCACGGCTCACCCCCATAGGCTGAGCTCTCAGAGGACAGGCCCGCACCCACCACTTACTCAATGTCCTCAAAGATGCTGGGTGGCACCTGCAGGAGGTGGGCGACATCGTCCATCAGCTGCCTCCCCTTCTCTGGGCTCAGGGGGCTGTGGAGACAGGAGGGGCGGTGTCACGGAGGAGTGGGGACCAGGAGCTCCCTTGGGCGGGGTGAGTCCCTGCCTCCCCAGCAGAAAACAGACGACACTGCAAACGGGACTGTGAGCAGGGTGACAAGTCCCGAGGCCACCGTGACTCCTCTCAGGCTTCGATAAAGCACAATGAAGAGGGCAAGGAGAACCCGGAGAGGAGGGCCAGGAGCCGCATCACACGCACGAAGGAGCAGCCTGTGGAGCTTCATCTCTAAATGAGGCACACTCAGGGAGCTGGGTGTTTACACACCACTCGTGCGCGTATTCATGGAGGGAGGAGGTGGACACTGCCCCCGGCAGCGCCTGCCAGAGCGCCCAGCTGTCCCAGGCTGCCTGTGAGCACGGCTGCCCAGCAAGGCCACGCTGGGGGACAGCGGCGAGCAGTAACTGCGTGACTCGGAACTGTGGTTAGGAGTCCTCAGTCCCGGTGTTCTGCTCCCAGGCCTGGGTGCTGTGGAGCGCGTCAGTGCAGCACAGCAGCACTGGTGTATACTGTGACAGCGAAGCCGTCGCTCCGCGAGCATCCTTCCCTCACCTCTCAGCAAGTGCCGAGTCACGGGAAACTCATCCGGTGAAGCCCTGACCCCGGGTAACGTGAACGCCTCTGGAAACAGGTCACGAGGGTTTACTCAGTCACATGGTGTCACTGGAAGGACCCTGAGCCTGTAGTCCTCACCAACGTCCTTCTCAAACGGGGGACACTATGAGGACACAGGGAGGAAGCCACCCACATGCCACGGTCATTGAGGCCACCAGTGGCTGCAGAGTGGCCTGGAACACTCCCCAGGTGTGCACGTTCCTCTGTGTGTACCAACACACTGCCCAGGTGGGTACACACCTCTGTGTATATAAGATATGCCCAGGCCTGGCCACGTTGGCCTATGTACATACAGCGAGAAGCACTTGCCCATGGATATCCCTGCAGAGGGTGAACCACACATAAAAGTGCACACCTGCCCTCGTGCCCTCAAGCTGGGGGAGCTTTGCCCTCTACTATGTAACATCATTCTTGGACCTGCACATAGGGCCATCCCGGTGGCCCTGACTCCCCTTCCTTTGAGCGCAGTGGTCCAGCTCCTCATCTGCCCACACAAGCCCCTGTACACACCTGTTCCCAGATCCAGGTCCACAGGTTCCCCTCTCCTTCAGTGCCCTGCTCCTCCCTAAATCCTAGCATGGATCAGGCGCTCCTAACCCAGCCATCTGGGCCTGTCAGCATACTTTTTCCTAAAATCCCTCTGGACGTTGACAGGACCACCAGGCTGATCACCCATTGTACAAGGACTCAATTATTTCATGTGTTTTAATCCTGTCTCCCTCCACAAACAGAAAACTCATCAGGAAAAGGAAATGTGCATGAGCACACGTGTGTGTGCATGTGTGTGTGTGTGCCAGAGTCCCATGCTCCCAGTTGACATCTGTTTCCAGGCTCCACAGACACCTCCATGTGCACCAAGATACTCCCAGGTGCATACACACCTCCAGGTCACCAAGATACTCCCAGAGGTTTTCCACCAGAGGGTGGTAGGACCAAGTGGAGCTGGCATCATTGTGGACCCACTCCCACTGGCCCCAGAACTCTCCAGGTCCCACACAGGAATTAAACATCACTGCAGCAAAATCAGTTAAAACAGCCTCGAGGGCTGCCATGGCATTTGCAGCCAGAATCATTTCAAGGGCCCCTTGTGCACAGACAGGACATCCCCAACTACCCCAACTATGCAGTGGGATAATCAGTCCCTTCCAGGCTCTCCATGGCCACTTGTCATGGGTACAGCCGGGACAGCAGGTATTTAAGGGCCATGGTGGGGCACCAGGTGTGCTCAAATGAGCATGCAGCCATTGCCACTTCATTTTAAATGGGTGTCGTCATCCGTCCTGCCACGGTCTGAGCTTTGGTAGGAAGCAGCTAGCGTTAATCTCAAGTCAGAGGGAGGAATCAGCACATACAGCTCTACCTGTCGGTTTGTGGCAGCTGTCCCCTGGCCCCTGAACTTGGTGCCATCCCTGGACCACAGGCACCATGTTCTCATGGACAGGATCTGAGCTGTGAGGGGCAAGGACCTTGTACCGCACCTGGACAGTGAGCAACAGAGGGTCTCGGAGCTAAGGATGCGTCTCTTCTCTACTGCAGTTCACTTCTGAGGGGGGGAGTGTGCTGAGATAGTTCAATGCTACTGTATGACATTTTTGAACAAGGTGCTCCTAGCATGTACTAAAAAACAAAATGGCAAGGATCTGAAGTGCCGATACTATCCATTCTATGGGAAGCTCACAGTGGGAGGTGACACCCTGCTTCCCATGATGCCTTCACCACGGCCACACGGCCCTTGGAGTGAGAGCCCGGCTGCAGGAGTGGTGACCAGGAGTGTGCAGAGAGCATTGGGCATACAGCCCAGGGAGCACAGCACAAGGGTCAGAAGCACCAAGAGCAGAGAGAACTGCTGAAGGCTGCCTCGGGCTGGCTGCCTGCTCAGGTGCCACAGGACTTCTCGCCCATGGCCGTGGTGAGTATAACGTCGGCATGGAAAGCACTAGTGCTGATGTACTTATTTGTTTTTATTATGTTAAAAGATAGCATTTCACTCTGTTGTCCAGGATGGTCCTGACTCCCGGGATCCTCTGCCAAGGAGCCCTCTGCCTCTGTCTCCAGCGGTTAGGACTACTGGTGAGTAGCACCATGCCTAGCTGTGTGCATTCTAAAGAAAGGGAGACTGCGGCTGGGGAAATTGTACTCCTCATCCAGGGTTCTCGCAGCGGCCAACCTCCAGGAGAAAACCCAGCCATGCAGGCCACAGGAGGCTGGCACTCAGGGCTGGTGTCAGCAGGGGGGATGTAGGCCTGCGGCCTCGCACGTGCATTCCTGCTGCACAAAGCTGAGAGTCTGCACCTGCGGCCTCCATGCCACGCTTCTCTATGGCTCCTCCTGCAGCAATGCCACCACCTCCTACTTCCAGGGCAGCTGAGAGCAGCGCGCTGTGGGCAGCACTCCTGCTGACCTGCTTTGCGTCTGTGCATGAGGGCCAAGCCTCTGTGTATCTGCCATGTTTCGTCCAACTGCGGACAATCAATTTGAAATTTCACTAAGAGCTAAAGAACCACAGTGAAAACGCACTCGACTTGGATATAAGCTCCAGAGGAGACACTATTAGAAACTGGTGGATGAGATGAGGTTTTCTTGGGATTTGAGCATTATCGCAGTCCTCCCACCTATTGTTCTAACTGTGGGCAACCCATGGACAGCCTCCAGGGACGAGCAGTCTGGAACAGGGCGCAGAGAAGGAGCAGCCACCACCTGGCATCTGCTTCCTCCACTTCCCTCGTGGAGCACCAGGGAGGAGCCCTGACCACCTGTGCCCTGAGCGAATGCCTCTGAGGTTGACAGCACCCCTGCAGCTCCTATGAGTGATGCTATGAGCAACGCCAGCTCCTGTAGGAGGTGAGGAGCTGCCACTTCCCAGCAACTCAGTTTCTCAACACCAAGATGAGAATGTACGTCTCACTATATGCACGTACGTTTGTCTAAACTTAAAACAATGCCAAGAGTTTAATAAAAGTCTAAGTGGCTGTCTTTACAGAATGTGGCCTGGGGAACCGTGATCCTGCATTCACACGGGCTGGTTTGCAACTGTACACCAAGTTAGGCAGGCCGTTGTGTGGGGTGAACGGCCGAGACTTCCTTCCAGTCCTCCAGATGTCTGTGAGGGGCTCTTCCCGGCACAGCTCTGACCCCTGGGCTCCAGGGCCACCCACCAGCACCTGGGGACCCTGACCGCCACAGAGAGGGTCTGTGCATTCTCGCTGCTCCACCCGCAAGACGGGGAGGTCCCTAGAGAGAAGCCCTCGGCTCTGAGCCAGGACCAGGCTGCCAGGATGCCCAGGATGGTGGCCTGGTGCAGTGGATGGGGACAGGGCGGGTTTGGGGGGTCAAGCTGAGGACAGTCCCCAGGCTAGGCTGGTGAGCAAGGGCCCAGGCTGTGACTTTTCCAAGAGCACTCCAGCAGAAGGGCAGCTCCAGGGAAGATGGGTAGCCCTAGACCCTGCACATGGATGAGGTCACCTGGACTACACTCTATAGACAGGCTGGACATGGCTGCCCAGTATGGGCACTGCCAGCTCCATCACAGCTGTTGCCCAGCACACAGGGCCTGCAGGTCCCTCATCTCATTCACACATGTGTACATACATACGTGTACACAAACAGACACACCACACACATACACCACACACCACACATGTATGTACACACAACAGATAGACACTACACACACATATACTACACATAGATATAACACACACACACATAGACACACATATACTACACATAGATACACACACACACACAGACACCCCATATGCACACATATAGGCACATGCATATAAATAATCGCCAAACACACATGCATGGTCCCACAGCCACACACTGCACCCACGCCTGCACATAGGCCACACACAACATCCATGAAGACTACAACCTTCAAGCTTCAGGTGCCACCCTAAGCCCTGCTGGCTGTGCCCGCTCCCTGGGGAGCAGCCCTGGGTCTTCTCTCCCTCTTCCTCACTCTCTCTAGGGAAAGCTGAGCCCCTCAGGACCGGGGTCAATAGCGTTCCGTGTGTGAGCCCTCTACATGCAGGACAGGGAGGACCCCGCACCCCACATGAGCAGAGTGTGGACAGAGACGAGGACAGAGACAGCAATGTGCGGCTCCTCATCTGGGCCCGGTGACACTAGGAAGAGAGAACCCTCGGGAAACGGGGTTAGAAGGGGCCCCAGAGAAAGCCGCCCACCACCTTAAGTCAGGAGGTCGTCAGGATGAAACCAGTCTGAAATCTGAATTTGGTTTTGGCGACCATCTGTGGCTTGAGCTCACTATGAAATATCTCTGGTCCTGAGTGTGACTAAAGACCAAAGTGTTGCTGGCTATTGTGAAAGAGGAAGAAAACGTGCAGATGGGGAGGGGAGCAAGAGCGGGGGAGGGAAAGGAAGGAAGGGGAAGTATAGAAAAGAGAAAAGAGGGAAACTGGAAAAGAAGCTTTTGTAAGGGGAGGGGAGGAGGCTTGCAGGGAGGGGACAGGAATGGGGAAAAGAGAATCAAGTCATGTCCGGTGCACGTACAAATTCTCTATGATGAATGTGACAATTATATATACCTAAAACGTACCAATAAAATCTACTTGTAAAAAAAAAAAAACAGTGCTCCCTTCAGCACTAAAAACCAAACCAAAACAAAACAAACAGACTCTGCCTGGCTGTGACACACGTGCCCCTCGCGGGTGAGCATGGTCTCGTGGGCAGCAGGGTGAGGTCTGCAAGTGCTGAGCCTGCGGCCGGCGACAGCTGAGACACACTGGGCTTCCACCTGGGTGAGACAGAGCCCGCGCAGGCGCACACTGGTTCAGCATGAGCACAGCGGCCTGTGCGCCCTCGAACCGCGGCCCTGAGCGACCCAGACTCAGACGTGGGCTAGGTGTCGCTCGTCAGTGAGGAAGCCACGAAAGTGGCTGGCCCTCCACGAAAGTGGCTGACCCTCCACGAAAGTGGCTATGTCCCCTGTTTTAATTTTTTATTTTGAGACAGGTTTTCTCTAAGTTGCTAAGTTCCCTGGGCTTGGCTTGAACTTGCGATCCTCCTGCCTCAGTCTCCCAGATTACAGGTATGTTCCTTCTCTGTGAGTGCAGACTGAGTGAGGGGAAGAGCACCCTGCTTCAGTGGGGAGCACTGTTCCTCCGAAAGGCCACTCAGGTTCCGCTATTTGGGCCATGGGTGTGAAACAGACAAAGCTTTTAAAGGGTTTCCCCCCAGTACTTGGGATCAAACCCAAAACCTTACACTGAGCTATGTCCCCTGTTTTAATTTTTTATTTTGAGACAGGGTTTCTCTAAGTTGCTAAGTTCCCTGGGCTGGGCTTGAACTTGCAATCCGCCTGCCTCAGTCTCCCAGAGTGTTGGGATTACAGGTGTGTTCCACCATGTTCCACTGCCTCAGCAGCATCAGCCCCCAAGGAGCTAGCACAGACCTTAGCTCTGCAGGCACCTGCCTGGAGAGGCACCTGTGCCCAGCTTTGCCCAGCCCCAAAGGTGCCAGCCCAGCAGGTTTGGGCCAGAACCAGGGAACCAGAAAGAGCCCTGAGGCTCTGGCTTTGTTCACTGCACTCAGCACCACTCTGGAGCCTGGACCAGGGTCAGAGGCACAGGAGCACTCAGGACTCCTGGCTGCTGCCCACACCTGAGATTCAGCCTCCTACGCAGCAGACATTGAAAAGAAGATTGCTTCCCGCTGCTGGGAGGCACCCTCCTGGCAGCTCCTGGGGCCCTGGAGACGAGAACCCTCTACTTACTCGCTGCCTGTTACGATGTAGCCAGGCTCCTCGCCCTCAGAAGGCCTGGCTTCCAACTGTAGGCCTTCGCCTGGGCGGCCCCACGTGCCCGCCTGGGGGCTCTGCGCCTCCTGCAGTGCCCCTGGATCCCAGCTCTGGAGCCCCCCAAGCCCGGCAGCCCTGGGCTCCGCATTCGGCTTCTCCGACAGATCTTTGGAGTATGTCTGGCTCTTCACATTCTCTACCCCTACGTCTTCTTCCTCCGAAGACAAGGAGGCCACAGGTGCCTCCGATTTCTTGATCTCTGTTGGGAAGGACTGCTCCAGGGGGTGCTGTCCAGGCAGAAGTGGGGACCGGCGGTCCTGCGGGAGGTCTCCAGGTTGGACACTCAGGTGACTGACCTGGCAGAAAGGAAACTCCCATGAGACCCTGTGCAGAGGAGAGGATGGCAGCGCTGAGACAGAGGGACGTTTGCAATGAAGTTATCCATGCAGAGTCTCAATGGGCCACTTGAAAGGAAAACCCTGGATGAAGGCAGAGCTTTTCTGTCTCTGCCGGAACTCTATCCAGGAGAGTCACTGCGTCCTGATGCGGGCTGGGGCGCTGTGTTTAGGAACCATCTTTTCATGCCCCACCCCTTCCTGAAGAACCTTACTCTGTAGTCTGCACAGCTCTCCAGAATCTCTATGCATGGTCAAGGCTCCACCCTGCCCTCCAGAAGCAAAGAACACACCAGACAGCAATCACAACTGCCTCTGATGATCTGCATTTGGTCTGCTACCTACAGGCTCTGTACTCATTGCTTTATGAGCCTGAATCCTGGGAGTCTCTGTGAGCACCCTAGCAGTTAGGAACAGTCACTAGCCCCATTCACAGACGGGGAAGTAGAGGCAGCAGTGGTTCAGGAGGGAGCCACACACTGCAGGATGCACACCTGATCCAGCATCACCTTCTGGTCCACCTGACCCCATCTGCCAGCCCCTCAGACCCCTCACTGCACACCCGGACCAGGGAGCGTGTTCCCGACAGGGCCCATTGGCTGTGTGACCGTGAACAGAGCTGTACTTTGTTTCCTGTGAGAGGACCCAGCCTCACTGAGCCGAGATGTCAGATGATTTGCAGAGAAGCACAGCAATGACGGGCGAATAGAACCTGCGCTCAGGCCTCACTGAGGTCAAGACCACAGCCCCCACCTGCACAGGGAGGACCCTGGGGCGCCTCCCTGGGCAGGGACAGCCAGAGTCCTCTGCCATCCCTGGGATGTTGTCCTGAGCATGAAATTGTGTCACTGAGGTTACATTAGCCAGAAACAGGGGGTTGGATTTGCTGTAGGACTCACTTTACCAAACACATTTGCTTAGGAAACTGAGAAGGACCATGAAGGCAATCAGCTCCTTTTGACTAAAGACAACACGTGACTTTTTGCCTTTTCTTTTTCTGCTTCTGATTATTTAAACAAAACAGCGGTCTGCTGCTGACATCTGCTCAAACTTGGATCCCGAATCACAGGTATACAGTGTCTAAATTGCCAACCAGAGACCGGACGGCATCCTCAGGCTGCCGAAGGAAAGGAGAAACTCATTTCTGGGGCTGGAGTTTCCCCAAGGAGGAGAGGAGGGGCTGCTAAACCTCCAACACCCAATACTTGTCCTGAGGGAACTGCCTGGGAGACCCCAAAAGCCGTGGAAATGAGGGGGGGGACTCCGAGTTGGGGAGGCGGCGGTGCTGAGTCCTGGCTGCCCTCTGCAGAGCCCGGCTAGCCATGGCACTCTTGGAGGCTGTGGTTTGGGGCTGCTGTCCCTAGGTGCCGCCCTCAGCCACTGCCGAGCTCTCTGTCCCTTCCCAAATTTGGAGACCGTTTCCTGCCCTCTTCCTCCCCACTGCTCTGACAGAATACGCCACTGCCCACGGGGCTGAAAACGTCCTCTGGTCCTTGCCAGCAGGCACCGAGCCACAAACCACTGAGATACTCTGCTGAGAGGTTTACCCACAATTCTTTCTTCCACTCCACTAACAGTGTCATGGAACGACACAATATCACTGTCATTGCGTGTGAGCTGATCGCTGCATTCGTCAGGCTTGGTTAATGAGAAAAGTCTCTAAAGTAGGAAAAACAAACATGCTAACGAAGCAATGGGCAGAGCTGACACACAGTGACGCAAGCTGCTGCCCGACAGCGGGTCCAGCAGCCCCACAGGAAGCTGGGACAGCCCCGTGCTGCGGCTGTACTGGCCCTGGCCACACACGGTGACCAGCACTTGACCGACGGCCAGTGCCACTGAGGAGCTGCTGGCTTTCATCCTAACTCACTGACATTTGGGCTGACACAGACGTATGGCTGGCGGCTGTGCTGGCCGCCACTGCGGGCCTCTAAGGGCACGTCCTGCGCCTGCCCCACGCACATGGACAGCATCGCGACTGAGAGGTGTGTGTGCAGAGGACTCTGGGAACATCGGTGTGCTTGTTTATATTGCCCATATTTCTTATGTTTCCACACTGCGTAAAAAGCAGCTCATAATCTGAAAACGGCCATTATTATTACTGATTATATACGTTCTGTATGTACTCTTCCCACTTTTCTCAGTTTAGGGACTGTAAAGGCTTCCTTTCCACTTTTCTTTATTTTTGTTTCTTTTTTATTTTGAAGAGAATAAAAAATAAAAAAACATTAATACAGAATTTCAAAATAAGGTGATAGGAAATCAACAATGGTTGTTGTATTG